GGTGTGTGTACCCTCAGTCTAAGCTATGCGGGGAAGGGGCCAGGGGAAGTATCGGGATCAAATGCACAGTCTGTCTGTCCGTTTGTGCTGGGAGAAGTGAGAGAAGCCCAGGATGGAGAAGGGGCAGAGCTGGTTGTTTTGTTCTCATACTCTGTTCTCTCGAAGGGGTTATTGGACCGAAATGGGACAGACTCTCCAAAAAAGGGGGTTGGATTAAACGCAGTCGGCCCCGTTTCCTCTCCGCAGAGGGACCCGCCCCTAACAGGTCTTATCTATTCACGTATCAGAGTCCTGTCCCTTTACAAGCATCACGTGTTGCCCCAATACACAGGACGTGCACACACACGTACCCATTCACGTCTGTCATTCAGTGTATGTTGGCAGGAATTTTGAAGTTGTAACACTTGTCACAGGGCTTGAGAAACGTTCCTTGCAGACAAGATCAGGCGTGTTCAGGGTGGTATGGCCCCACGTGAAAGCCTCCCTTTCGGAACAGGCACCTGAGTAGTGTCTGTCACCCAAGAGAACTGGGAGTGCAGGTAGACAGAGCAGCAAAGCCCACAGTTATTTTCATATCTATATGAACCCAAACGTTACAAACTATTCATCATGTTCTGTTGTGTTTTTTTTGGCCAAAGGATAACTGTGGCCATTTCCACCAGCCACTTCTTAGGAGGCTGACTCCTTTCTTTTCCATCGGAACAGTATTTCATCATATGGGTTGCAGTATAAACTTTGTAAGCAATTCTCCTTAGAACACTGGCGTTTTCCCAAGCGCTCAGTCCCCCAAACAGGTGTGCAATGAACGTCTTTGCCCGTGTATCTTCCTGTGGGATACAGTCCTGCTTCGAAAAGTTTGCACAGTTTACCTTTTGTCAGGAACGGGACAGGGCAGGGCTTTCTTTCCCGGGCCCGAGTCAGGCAGCAGTTCGGACCAGAGGGAAATTCCAGTTCTATCACTTCCTCTCTGTGTGACCCAAACCTCCTCTTTTATAGGACGTAAAACAAGGACGCATGCTGAACTCATAGTTATTTTGAGAAATAGTGAAATAACACGTATAGATTACCAACCCAGTGCTGACTCACAGAAAGAGCAATCGTTACCATTACTCTTATTGTTGTAACGACGACCGATCGCTGCTATGAATTCTACGCCTCGCTTTTATGGATTTCAGAGAGGAAGGGAGAGGGAGACAGATAGAAACATCAATAATGAGAGAAAATCATTGATAGGCTGCCTCCTGCACACCCCCCACTGGGGATGGAGCCCGCAACCCCGGCATGTGCCCTGTCCGGGAATCGAACCGAGACCTCCAGGTTCCTAGGTCGATGCTCAAATCACTGGGCCGTGCCAACTGGGCTCCACGCCTCACATTCAAGGCCCAGTTCAAGCTCTAACTCCTCTAAAAGGCCTTTCACATAATTTCACCCTACAGGGCGCTCTCTTTCCAAGCTTTACAGGAGTGGTTCTCTCTCACTCATCTGGCACTTGGCATGTTCTAGGGAACACTTTGTCCATCCAGCTAGACGCATTTGCAGAAGGTGAAGGGCCCCTGCTTATGCTACCATCATCCTCAGTACCTACACCTGGCCTTGCTCAGCCAAAAACATCACTGCCCCCAAGCCCTTTGGCGGAACCGCCTGAACGCCCTGTTTTCTGCCTCCCCTCAGATGTCCTGCGGTTTGACAACACCTACAGCTTCATTCATGCCAAGAAGGTCAGCTTCACGGTGGAGGTCCTGCTTCCAGACAAAGCTTCAGAGGAGAAGATCGAACAGCTGGGGGCGGTCACCCCAATGTAATGCCTCCCCGCACCGCAGGCCTGGCTCCCTCAGTGTCTCCCCGTCAGTTTCTGTCCCCTGTCGCAGTCATTTTTCCAGCACCCTGATGCCCAAAGGAACTGGGGCTAGAAGGAAGACCTCAGCTTGAATCTGGGGAGTTTTCATTTCAGAGTTAGGAAGAGGGAGCAGAGCAGGAGGGGGTCTATCGGCCTTTCAAGTTACAAAGGAGTCCCCAGGGGCTGGGCACTGTGAAGGGGTCTGTTTGTCCTGAAAACTGTGCCTACAGCACCCACCTGAGACAGCTGAGACAGGAAGGGGGTCCCATGGGGTGGCAGTAGGGAAGAAACTGGAAAAAAGGGGAGAGACTGAAACGTAACATTTCAGCGAAGCCAGCAGCAGGGGAGAGGAACTTGCAACCAAATGAATACGTAAGCTTAGATCATAATGAGCAGCAGAAGGAGTTGCTAGAGTTACGCTGGGGGTCAGAGGCGCTTCTAAACTCTATCACTGAGGCTGGGGTCCTGTGGCTTTCCCCCCCACCTCCGGCTCAGGAGGTGGCCCACAGTCGGCATAGAGTTCCCACTCAGGGGTACACAGGCAGGTCTTGCCCTCACCTTGAGAACTTCAGCAACTCCGGGGTCCCTACGGCTGCCGATTTAATTACTGATGATTGTCATTGATTCAGAGCTTCCTGGGACAGTGTGCTTCGGTACCTAGCCACTGTCCTCCAATGCAAACAAAGCACAGGGAAATTACCTCCAGGGATCCCAGCTCTGGGGAGAGAAGGGAGGCTCGGGGTGCCTGTGAGCCTGAGGTTTCCAGCCTCCCATGTGAGCACCCCACACAAAAATGACAGGTGGGATCCAGACGGTAGAACTCAGTGAGGGCATTTGCCAAGTCTGAGCCGTCCACGGTGCTCACCGACCCGCTCCCTGTCGACCCGAACAAAGCCTGGGCAGTTCCTATCTCTGGGAGAGGGGAATGGTGGGCGCCATGGGTTCCTAGTGCCTGGCGGGGAGGCTGCCCGGGCAGGGAGCCAAAGGCAGGGCCAGCATCTGGGAGAGCCCGGGGCTGGGGGCCGCCACAAACAGCCTCGCAGGCCCCCGGCCCCTCCACCCTCGGGGACAAGCAGGGACGGCCATGGGGCCGCTCAGCGACCAGGAGCTGGAGGGCAAGGCCCCTTCGAGCAATCATCGCGCTTATCCCAATCCCACCTCCTGCAAACGCACACCAGGTCCTGGGCTGCACAGAGGCACAGAACACGAGCAGGCAGCCCAGCCTGGGGAGCTGGCCTGGCGGAGCGGGAGGGAGCAGGAGGAGGGGGGGAGCCCCTGAGCCCGCATGGGTCCCAGCCAGAATACTCAGGAGGACATCCCGACCTTGGTTTACAACGCTCTGTTAGGAAAATTAACCAATGAATAAAGCAACGTTCAATGCACAGAAAGTGGAAGTCCATGCCTACCGGCTGGTTCTTCGCTGCTCACGCATCACCCAGAGCCCTGAGCTTAGCGACATCTATCCGCCAATAGTAGGCGGGGCGCATGCGCAGCAACCACTCCCGGCTCTTCTCTGGCGTGCGCTTTCTGGCGCCCAGCGGCCAACTCGCCTCCTGATTGGCCTACCCGGTGGGCTGTCTTCCGCCATCTTTGCTAAGGGCACTAAGAGTGCTCTGGTCGCCTTCACGGTCAGGGCGGAAGCCCCGCCCCACTCGGGTTTCTAAGGGTGCGCAGGGCGCCAGGCGGTTCTTGCGCGCAGACACACGTGGGTCTGGCGAGCGCGGTGCCCGCGGTGGGACCGAATAGGCAGGGAGGCGGGGGAGGAACGATCACGTGGTGTTAGGGACCGTCTTCTAATTCTGCGCCTGCACTGCCAGTGAGTCAGGGGCTGGGTATCTCTTTGAGCCCCGAGCCCCGCTTCCCGAGAGGTCACCGCTGATCAGGCTGTCGAACCCGACCCTACGGAGACAGCGACTCCCAGGGCTGAAAAGGAGACCCTCAGGAGGGAGTGAGTCGCCTTCATTTTTTCCAAAGTTATTTAATGATAATAAAAGCTAATTCTTTAATGAACACACACCTCTGTACTTACAAAGAAATAATATGTGCAAAGCGCTTGGAAAAGAGCCTGGTACACGTGAGCACGCAGTAAATATTAATCTTTTTTTTTTTTTTTTTTTTTACAGCGGTGGCCAGCAGGTAATAGGTGGCACAACTGGGACTGGAACCCAGGACTGCCTGTCTTTAATGGCTGTGTCTTTGCTTGCTCTACCCCCCCTACACCCCCCCCCCCCCAAATATTCACAAAGCTGAACTCATGGCTCACATGGGTAAACTGAAGTTCAGCAGGGGAAGAGCTCCCTCCTTAGTCATCACTGCCCCCCAAGCCCGCTCATTCTGTTCTGCTCATTTCCCTGAAGTCTTGCATCACAATCCTGTTTCCCTGGCCTCATGATGCATTCATTCATTCATTCATTCATTCAAGGTCTTGTCCCCAAAAGGTTCTGTCCAGTGTTCAAAATGATCCGGTTTAGATGTCAGTGCTGACCGATGACCATGGCACGTGTCGGGAAGGGACTTCAGAGCCCAAGTATCCATCTCACCAGGTGCTCACCACTCACTCTCCCAGCCTCGCTGACTGAGATCTAAGAGCACGGGATCTGGAGCCAATGCCGGTGGCATCGCAGCATAGCAGCTGTATGACCTGGGAAAGTGCCCCATCTTTTCTGAGCCTCTATTTCCTCGTCTGAAAAGTGGGGGTCACCGGTTGATGGGAGGGTTTAAGGAAGTAATCAGTCTACAGAGTCTTTTCCCGGTAAAGTCTTCAGCTGTTAGTCTTTGGCCAACGGTCTGGCCGGTAGAAAACACAGGCAAAGATGACTTGTTATTCACCCTCGTCCCGGAAGTGGACGCCGGGGTGCACCCCGTGTAAGAAATGAATAAAGTGAGGCTCAAAGAAGCACAGAAGCGTGAGGTCACACGGCTCTGACGTGCAGCTGGGAAGGACAGGATCTTCCATTTGAACCACAGCCAGTCCTGGGAGAGGATCGTGCCAACCCTCGAAAGCCCTAGAAAACGTGAAGGAAATCTGTAAGATCCAAGCCTGGGAGAGGGGCTTTGGTGCGCGGGGGAATTTACAGACGCTCCCTGCTTTTGGTGACAGCGCGACCTGCCCGTCCTTCAGTCCGGGACCTTCAGTCCGTCCGGCCACCTTGGACCGGAGGAGGGCTTGGGGAAGCTGAAGCGGCAGTGGTGGCTGGACCGGCTGCAGTGGCCGGGGCCTCCGCGGAAGGGCCATGTCCGAGTCGTCCCCGCAGGGTGCTGAGCGCGACCTTTTCCGGGACACGTGGGTGCGATACCTGGGTGAGAGCGGGGGCAAGGGGCACGAGGGGCACGGCGACTCCCCCACCCTGTAGCTGGGGAGCAGGGGTCACGGTTTGCCAGTTCGTACCCCAGTTCTGGATCCTGGAGAAGGTGGGATGATTCCCTCTTAGTTCTCATTCTGCCCAGACCAGAGATTGGGCTCAGAGAGGGTTAGGGGCTTGCCCAAGGTCACACAGCTCTGGTTGGCCCAGCCCTGCCTTGGGGGGTGGGGGCGTAGGGAAGGGGAGAGGGGTGGGTCGCTGCTGGTCCAGTCTCCCAGATTGAAGCTCGGACCCTACTGGGAGAAATGGGAATGGGGTGAGCAGGTTGCCTTCTCTGCCATGCTGGGGCTCTGATTGGAGCCCGAGTACCTGGAGCTCAGTCTGTGGCTGCCTGTTCCCCCATTAGCGCAGAAGCTTCCAGAATCCAGACTGGGAAGGCAGGCGAGTGACTGATCACGGTGACTGCACTCAGCTCTCCCACAGTGGCCCTAGCGTTGAGGTAGGCATCGTGGGTGGCCGTTTTCCAGGTTCAGAGAGATCCAATCCCTTGTCTAAGGTCATCCAGCTTCTGTGTTGCAGGCTGGGGCTAGAACCAGCCGGCTGGAGCGCCCCCTGGTGGAACGATCGCTGCTCCCCGGAATTAAATGTCCCCTTCTGTCCAGGCTACGCCAATGAGGTGGGGGAGGCCTTCCGCTCCATGGTGCCCGCGGCGGTGGTGTGGCTGAGCTATGGGGTGTCCAGCTCCTACGTGCTGGCTGATGCCATTGACAAGGGCAAGAAGGCAGGAGAGGTGAGTGCGAGCCTGCCCCTCGACACGCCCCCCCCCCCCCAGGCCATTCCCAGGGTGGGTTAGTCCCCGGCCTTGCATGTGATACCATCACTGTGATAAAGCATGTGGACAGTCCCTACCCCAGTCCTATTTGTAGGATAGTGCACCCCCGCCCCCAGCCTTGCGTGTGACATTTGTTTATACCCCAGTCCTGCATGTGGACAAATCTACCCCCAGCACTAAATGTGGTAGAGTCCAGAGCCCAATCCTAGCAAGGTTTGTCCCACCTCCCCTTCCCCCCTCCTCCCCCCACCCGCACTCTGCCACTGCTGAATTCAGTTTCTCTTGTGCCCACCAGGTGCCAGGCCCTGAAGCGACCCGCCGCACCAGGGTGACCGTGGCTGTGGTGGACACCTTCGTGTGGCAGGCTCTGGCCTCGGTGGCCATCCCAGGCTTCACCATCAACCGTGTGTGCGCGGCCTCTCTGTACGTCCTGGGCACTGCCACCCGCTGGCCTCTGGCTGCCCGCAAGTGGACCACCACTGCCCTGGGACTGCTGGTCATCCCCATCATCATCCACCCCATCGACAGGTGGGCGCGACTCCCAGCCTCAGGGTCATTCTCTCTGCAGATGGAGAGAAGCCCTGGGAGGCAGGGGGTGTACCCACTTTGCACAGAACAATCGCAGCAAAGGCAGGGCTGGCACTCGGGGCTCCAGAGGTAGAAAGGACAGTCTTTGCCCTTGGCATATGATCTGGCAGGTATTTTGGCAGTAAAGGCAGAGGCCGGGGCTGCCTGGAGGCTATAGGACACAGGACTAGTAAATTCCCAGAAAAAAAAAAAAGGTAGTGTTACAAAACAACCAGAGGCAGGCAGGAGCAGGTGCACCTGGAGGGTGTTAGTGACAGACGTAGGAATTGTTTTGTGAAACTGAAAAGTCATTAAGCTGCTTTCAGGCATGGCTGGATCTAGGCACCCAAATGGTGTCATTAGGGGGTCTGGGTCTCCCCATCTTGCTGCCCTTTTCTCCACCCCACCCCCCATGTTGGCTTCACTCACACTTTTCCCTCATGGGAGCAGAGATGGCCCCCAGCAGCTCCCAGCTTCCATCCCACCATCTTAGCAAGCTCCATGGGAATCTTCTTAATAGTGACAGCAAAAATCCCAAGGAAGGCTGTCATTGGCCCATTGTAAACTGGGTATCCACCCCTGAGCCAGTTGCCCTTCTCTCATTGGCCAGGCTTGGGTCATGTGCTTGCACTTAGAACCAGACATGGGGCCAGATCAACATGGAGTGGGAGGAGTCTTTCTCCAATGGAACACAGCTGACCCCGAGGCCATGAGTGAGTCTAGTACCCTCTCTGTGCCTCGGTTGTCCTAACGGAATAAAGAAGAGGGTGATGGCCGCCACCTGGATGGCACCTGTGCCCTGCATCCAGAGACTCCCTTCCCCTAGCCCTGACCACCTGCCTCCCATTCCCCCACTGGTCACTTGTTCATCACCCTCCCTCGCCCCACAGGTCAGTGGACTTCCTCCTGGACTCTAGCCTGCGCAAGATGTACCCCTCAGTGGAGAAGCCCAGCTCCTCCTGACCCACAGCCTGGCACCTGGCCCGGAGGTTGGCACACTCCCTGTTTTCCAACCTCCTCCTCCTGTCTGGGGATTCAGTGCTTGGCTCCTTGGGGCCGTAAGGCCCTGGCACCTGAGTGGGTGTGAATTGGATGAGAACAACGACAAAGGCCTCAAGGAGCAGCTGCCACAGCGACTCAGAGGCAAGCCCTGAACCCCGGAATTCATGATACCGAGTGGCAGTGGGACTGGGTGGGCCCAGCCTTGTCTTTTTGACAGGAAAGCAACATCCTCCCATGGAGGAGAAGGGGACTGAGCCCAGAGAGGGCGAGGAATATGGCCACGATCACTTGGCAAGCTGGGGACCCAGGACTCCCAGCGGCTCAGCCAAGTCACCCCATGGCAGCGTGGCTGGACAGGGGAGCAGCAGGCACTGGGTGTGCCGCGGTGGGGGACCCTGAGCCCTGCGTCTCTGGCCAGCCCATTCCCGGGGCACTAGGAGGCAAGACAGCCCTGGTCTAATAAATCCTCAAGAAGTTTCGTTTTCTTCTTCCCTGTTGGGGGTGAGCAGGGATGTGGTGGTGGAGAGCAGGGCTGGGGGCCCTCCGAGGCGGAGGCTGACTGCTCGGGCCAGGTGGCACTCGCCGTGGCCAGCGCTGGGCCTTTCTGGTCCACTTGGCGCTGCAGCCTCCTGCACCCACACCTCTGGGAGGGGAGGCCTCCCAACCTGTAGGGTCACAGATCAGACCCAGCCCCGGTCTGCTCTCCCCTCTCCAGAGGCGGCTGGGTAGGGAGAAGGGAAGGGCCTGGGAGGCAGCCCCTGCTTGCCAGGTTGGGCGCCCACCTGTGGCTGCTGCCCCAGCACCTGATGTTCGGGCTCAGGCCCTTGTCTCTCTTCCCTGGCTGCTCCCTCTCCCTCCAGTCGCTTCTGTCCCCAGTGCTCTTCCCCCACATCTCCTGTCTCTCCCCTCCAGGCCAGCATGAGGGCAGCGGCCTCTGGCTTGCCTCCCTCCAAGCTTCTCTATTTGCCAACTACTTCTGAAACCATCCAGACCCGAGCCCGGGATCCTGCATCAGGATCTGCACAACCTCACCCCCAATTTTTACTCCAGCTATTCTGTCCTTCCTGGTTCCTTGGATCTGGAGGTTCTTTCTCTTTTTTAAAAAAATATATTTTTATTGATTTCAGAGAGGAAGGGAGAGGGAAAGAGAGATAGAAACGCCAATGATGAGCGAGAACCATTGGGTTCTCAACCTGTGGGTCGCGACCTCTTGGGCATGGGTTCTCAACCTGTGGGTCGCGACCCCTTTGAGCATGGGTTCTCAACCTGTGGGTCGCGACCCCTTTGAGCTCTGCATGTTTCCTATCTAGTTAGTCAGAGGCAAGAATCCAGAAACTCAGGCTGCCTCTCTGCCACTGGCCATCCGCACGGCCTTGGGCGGCTCCCTGTGGGTTCACAGCTTGAGAACCCATGCCCAAGGGGTCGCAACCCACATGTTAGAACCCATGCCCAAAGGGGTCGCGACCCACTGGTTGAGAACCTCCGCCCTAGAGCATGCTGGGAGTCAGGTCCCTCCCTGTCCACTTTCACGCAATGCTCAGCATCACCACCAGGAGGCAGCATCTCCCGAGGTGCCCATGCCAGCTGGTTCAAAGTGCTCCCAGGGTTCTTGAGAGCTGCATCTACTAGCGAACTGCTCCTAGAATGTGCCAGGCGCTGTGCTAAGTGCTTCCTGTGATGTGTGCGGCTCACTTACTCCTGGCAAACACATCCATCCTGGTTGGGTCCCTGTTTCCTGGAGTCGGAGTCACTGGCCCAAACTCACACAGAACATCCCATAGCCTTTGACCTTCCCACTGCCTCACCTCACCTTTCCCCCAGCCCAGCACTGACTATTGCCTTCCAGCCCACAGCTCTCTACATCGTCAGGGGCAGATCCGACTCACAGGCTGAGCTGTGGTCTCCTCACGTACAACTCTACGTGATGATCTCCCGCAGCGGCCGTGAGGATTACGGGAGAAATGGCTCGCGAAGGCATTCAGCCAGGGCGGGGCTCACAGGGCGAGCTCCACAAACATTGGCTGTCCTTCTTTCTTTCTTTCTTTTAATTTATTTTTATTGATTTCAGAGAGGAAGGGACAGGAAGAGAGAGAGAGAAACATCAGTGATGAGAGAGAATCATGGATGGGCTGCCTTCTGCATGCCCCACGCTGGGGATCAAGCCCGCAACCCAGGCATGTGCCCTGCCCAGGAATCAAACTGTGACCTGGTTCATAGGTCAGTGCTCAACCACTGGGCCACGCCGGCCGGGCAACTTGGCTGTTCTTAATGTGGCAAGAGGCATGGACTGTGTCCGGACCTGGGGCTCAAGCCAGCATGTCTGTGTCCCTGACTCGCAGCACAGCGTTCAGGTGGGCGTCAGGGGGCTGTGCTTCCCAGAGGCCGTGCCAGGAGGGGCAGGATGCTGGGCTTCGGGGCACAAGCCCTGCCTGGCCTTCTGCGAGTTTCCTTGGACGAGTGGCTTAAGCATTGTGTGTCTCCATTGCTCCAGCTGCCCGGTGGGCATAACACCTCCTCTACCCACAGACGTGGATTGGAGATGGTGACCTCCAGGCCACTTCTACTAGAGGGTCTAGAACAAACAAGCCACCCCTCCTCTCCTTCTTTGTACAAGAAGGGCCTTAGAGAAGTGGTATTAGGGGGCAATTAAGAACAATGTCTTTGGAGTAAAGAAAAAGCAAACAAAAAACCCCACCTGTAGGGTTTTGGAACCGCTACAGAACAGCTGTGTGATGTTGGGTGAGTGACTTCACCTCTCTGAGCCTTCGTTCCCTTGTCCATCAGGTGGCCGCGATGAACAGCCCCGGGGGAGGCACGAGAGTGAAACAAGCTAAACTCATAAAGCACTTGGCAGTCTGTGTGTACACAGCACTCGCTGAATGATAGCTCTGATTATTATTATTATTATTATTATCATCATCATCATCATCATCATCATTATCGCCAGACAGCTGCTAGGGTCGGATATGACTTCCTTTGTTCCCAGGAAAGTCCCTTTGTTTAAAACACAAGCTGTAAGTTCCAAGGGAAAGAAATGAGGGTGGGAGTGATGGACGGGGGGGAGCTCTGCACCCTGAATCAGATAGAGTCTTCATGGAAGCATCGCCTAGGGACCCCGAGGGGGCAGCCAGCCACTGCCAGGAATCTGGGGGCTGATTGCCTGAGTCTCCAGGACAGTCAGTCCATCCCCATTCAGGGCTCTGCTCCTGTCCAAGGTGCTGAAATCTGCCCGGGTAGGCAGGCGCCTTCCCCTCATGCCCGTCCATGATCACCTGCTCCCTATCTCCATTCAGCTTCACAAGGACACACTGTGGAGTTGTACTCCTTACATACATCTGCTATACAGGGAGGAGAAGTAAAAAAACAAATTTAGATACATCTCCAACCCAAATTGCTCATAGTTCTTTTTTTTTAAATATATTTTTATTGATTTCAGAGAGGAAGGGAGAGGGAAAGATAAAAATATCAATGATGAGAGAGAATCATGGATTGGTTGCCTCCTCTATGTCCCCCACTGGGGATCGAGTCTACAACCTAGCCCCGTGCCCTAACCCGGAATTGAACCGTGACCTCCTGGTTCATAGGTCGACGCTCAACCACTGAGCCACGCTGGCCAGGCTCATAGTTCTTAGGAAAGAAATTCAAGCAACTTAGGAGATGTGGGGGCAAAGGGTAGGAGATTGACTTTTCTACTTCTTTCAAGGGTTTCAGTGACCTCTACATCTTGCTTTGACCCTTGCTTCTTTCTCTTCTGCCACATTGGCCGCCTCCAAGTCTGTGTCTCTCATACCTTCCTGATGTGACCACAGCATCTGAATCTTCCCCCAAAGTGGCTCCTTCTCTACTCATTACTGTCAGGCTCAGGAGAACTAATGATCAGTTTCTGGCGGGAGGATAGGAGATCTATAGGCAAAGCAGGGGGTCGGAGATCTCTGCGCAGTGACGCAGCGCCTAGATGGGGGTGAGCTCCTCGTCGTATTTCTGCATGCCCTTGTCTGGGAGCAGTACCTCCACCGTGAAGCTGATCTTCTTGGTGTGGACAAAGCTATAGGTGTTGTCGAAGCGCAGGACGTCTGGGGGAACAGAGGGACAGACGGGTGGTTGGCCCTGGCTTTACACTCCTGTGTCCCTGCCCCAGCCACGGGGGAGGACTGGCTGTGTTTCCCCTTCCTGTGTTTGCCGAGCCGAGTCAAGTTCCCACCACGACTGTTTCCTTCCCCATGGGAACGGCCACCCCTGAACAGGGCCTGTAAACAGACACTGACCTCCTGCTGGCCTGTGTCCAGCCTGGCTTTAGTTGCACAAACTGGCAACCAGAACAATAGCCACGGCATCCCATTGTCTTCACACCTGGACGATTGCATAATGCGGGTTGGCGGGGGGCCATCAGAGGCCTCCTGGCCCCTGGGGTTCTGGGCCAAGCCTGCACATGCCCTCTGCCTCCCCCACAGGCACCCCAAGAAGCAGGGCTTGTAATTTCTGCTTCACAGGTGAGTGCAAACCAAGGGTCCAGACGGAAAGACTTTTGCCCAAGGTTACACGGCGAGCGCAAGGCTGAGGTGGCATCCTGGCCCCGCACGCGGCTGTGTGGCTCTGGACAAGCTGACTGACTTCTCTGAGCCCAGCTTCCTCCTGGGGAGAGTTGCACCTGCCCCATCATCCCTTGCCTGTGTCCCAAGAACCAAGGTTTCTCAACCCCTGTAGGGTCCGTGGGTCTCTGGCTCTTGGTGCACACAAGTGTGGACCAAATGAGCAGCTTTAAACCCTGGCCAGTTTGGCTCAGTGGATAGAGCGTCAGCCTGCGGACCTAAGGGTCCTGGGTTCGATTCCGGTCAAGGAAGGGCGGGTACCTTGGTTGCAGGCTCCTCCCAGGCTCAGGCCCTGGTAGGGGCCATGCAGGAGGCAACCAATCAACCAATCAACCAATGGATGTGTTTCTCTCACATCCCTGTTTCTCTCTAAAAGATCAATGGAAAAATATCCTCGGGTGAGGATGAGCCAAATGAGCAGTTTTGTGAATGAATGGCGCTAACCTCAGCTGTGTGCCTGGGGCAGGGGGCAGCACCCTTCTGTTTCCTTCTCTACACCCTGGGACAGGTGACGGCAGCTTCCAGGAGCTGGGTCCCGGCCGGGGTGCACTTACAGACGCCAGCTTCCGAGCAGGTGAGGCTCCCGTCCTCCGGGACCATGTGAGCGTTGTAGCGCTGGGTGGGCAGCACCTCGGTCATCTCCCCCGCCTTCTGCCGCTCCCCCATCTTGGTCTTCAGGAAAATCCCGAAGCCGATGTCCGCCCCATCTGAATAGAACTGCCACCTGGACATGGGTGGGGGGACGAGGGACAAGTTACCTACCGCTCAGTCTGAGGGGTCCCCCAAGGTTAGTCCCCAGCCAGGGGTGGGTCAGTGGCCTGTCCCTACCTGAGGACACAGCCCGGGAACAGGATCTCATACTCCACCTGGTGCGAGGAGCCGCGGCTGA